CTTATTTTCCTCAAACATGTTAAAAATGTTTGTTAGCTGTTCCCATTTCTGAACCTCTTTCCCCCATTTCTCCTCTCCAACACTCTCCCTCTAAATTGTTAGTGTATTAACATAGTCTGTCCATTCGTTTACTTAGTACATAGTTGAGTGCTTATTGTAAACAAATAGGGTACTGTAGTAAGTGATGGTACAGTCTCTCCTTTCAAGGTACTCAGAGTCTCCTACAGGAAGTAAGATAGCACAAATAACCTAAAAGTAATGTGTTAACACCCTACAAAAGTGCTCTGGGAGTTCAGAGGAGAGAGAAATGAATCACTGTTGTCTGGGACCATCTGGAAAGGCTTCATAGAAAGGATAGCTTTTGAATCAGGTTCTGAAAACTAGGTAGGCTTTCCTAGCAGCTCCAAGCAGAGGAAACTGAGTGAGCAAAGTATGGAGGCAAGAGAATAAAGAGACACATCTTAGGAATTACAACTACTGTAGACCTTTTGCATTCTTGGATTTGTAGCTTACAGGATTTGGACCGTTTGTGAATGACCCTTGAAGGGTCATGTAGTAATTCTTCTGAGTTACTGATTCTGTTCCCTTGCTAAGAGCCTAGTGTTTCAAGTCAATGAGTGAGGCTAGTGATTGGTTTAGCAGTCATATCTTAGTCCATCTTTGTTCGTATAGATTCACTCTCATTCCATTTTTCATTTTGCTGTATATGATATAGAAAGACATTATGTGCTTATTAATAATTTAGGATTTATGAAGAGCTTGTTACAGTTCCTCTCAGTTGCCAAGAGTCTACTGCAAATAGGTTGACCATATAATTTATTGCCCAAACCTGGACTCTTTTGAAAGGAGGTGGTGCTATTAATATTCCAGAGCAACAGGCATAAACTGGGTTTGTCTCAAGCGAGCTAGAGTATATGGCCAATTCGAATCTGTGGTTACTCTAACTATAGTTCACGTTAGTTGGAGTATAGGATAGGGATGGGGAGCAGTAGGATGTGATTTGGGAAAGCAAGTGTGGACTAGTTTGTGAATGATCCTAAATGCCAGGCCATGGAGTTAGGCTTTTATACTGTAGACGATGAAAAATCTTTGGAGGTTTTTTTGGGCAGGGGAATTGATATATGCAAAGCAGCATTTGAAAAGATTAGTCTGGCCTCTGTGGGCAGGTTGGATTGAAGGGAGGTACTCAGTTCAGGGAGTGTCCTAGTGGCTCCCATTAAGGGTATATTCGAATGGTCTTAATGTTCTAGGAAAATTTGTTTATTTATTTAAAAAATTATGAACAGAGAAGCTTTAATAATTCACTTCCAGTATGTGTTATTATTGCTGTGAGTTCATAACTTCTGAAAAAGATCCTGTTAGGTTATTGTCTTGTTCACTTAGTGTTTTTTTGAAAGAGGAATAGCCCTGGGCCTTTGCAGCAAGTGCCAAAGCATTGCATGTGTGCTAGTATTAGAGCTTGTATATATGTTAATATTGTAACAAAGTTTGGCCTAACATTAGAGTGATTATTAAAAAATCTTTCCAAAGTTTATTTCTAAAATACTTTCTTTTATCATGTAATCAGCTTTTCATTGTATCTTGTTACAACTTGTTGTCTAATCTAGAGAGAATTTTAATTTCGCAGTAACTCCCATTTCCCTAGCCTACATTTTCCCTTTTTTGATCCCCATGGAGTAGGTCAGGCTTTTGAGAAAGGATAGTCATTTTCTACCAGGAGAACCAGATAAAGCTTTGTGGAGGAGGGAATCAGTCCTTGAAGGATTGATTATGCAGTAGTGGAGAGGAGAACACTCCAGGTAGAGAAAACCACATAGACAAAGAGATGGAAGCAGAGAAATTGTGGGGCATATTTTGGGGAAAGTGACTGGTTGCTGGGTGGCTTCTAAAGTGCTGTGGAAGTACAGCCAGTACACTGGCGTCACTAGCCAGTTAGGTGGTCATGGAGGATACAGGGAAATTTAAGGAGAGAAAGGCTTTTTAGTTCCAAAGATATCTCAATTTTAAAAAACCGTCTAATGGAAGAAAATATTCTTTACTTGCTGAAGAAGCTCCTATTTAAAGCTAGCCTGTCACTTATTTTTTTTTTAAATGAATTTGGGTGCATTGTTTACCATTTCACTGATGTGCCTTTTATATAAGATCATTTCACTAGACGTATCTCAGACTGAAACGTTTACTATTTGGTGCAATAAATGCATGTGGAGGGAATTATCTAATGAATTATAGAAGATGATTGGAGATGCCTCTCAGTTTTCTTGGCAAGAAAATGAGCTAATGAACTGAAGAGAATGACCAATTTGTAAAATATTTCATAAGTTTATGTCTCTAATTATATTTACATATGTTGTCTAAATATCCCATCATTAGAGGCTATATTCTCCATGACTAAGATATTCTATTCAAAATTTCTGTGTAGGTTTTTGTTGTTTCTTTTAAAAAAATAAGTTTACTTCAAGTCTAAATTTAAAAAAATGAACAATTATCCTTCTCCTGTCCTGGTTTAGAGCTACTTGTCTTTATTTTACTTAAGCACTATAGCATTTGACACATAAAGATGTTTCCCCAGGAGAAGCTTGTTTCCGCCTAGGGCTGACATGAAAAGAAACAATTTGTCAGACTAGTGGAGCTTGCTAACAATTCGAATAAACAACCTGTCTTTCCCTTCATACTGCATATTAATAGAAATGTTAATGGTAAACCACCTCCTTTATACTCTCCAGGGAGGAGAGATTATTGGTCAGTGAGAGTTTTCTTTGCGCCCTCTTAAACACAACTGTTAGGTGAATCGTCTTATCAGTTGCATGCTTATTATCACAATGTTTCTTAAGTAATAATTATCTATTAATGTAGCCAACTTGATTGATGCCTCATTTTTGTCATTACCTAGCATGTGAATATTTTTGCCATGTAAATGTTTCAAAGTAAAAAGCAATTAAATTTAGAATATACTTCTCTGTAAATGTATATTTTGATAGGCGATAACTAGTTCTTCAGAAATGGGCTTTCTTGGATTATAAATCTGAAGACCATTATCGTATCTGTATTTATCATTTTTCTCCCCTCTTTACCACTACCACTCGTGTGAGAGCTCCTTGAGGCAGAGCATACCATGGTTTATGCATTTGTGCCCTCAGTACCTAGTAGACACTCTGTTAAGTGACTGTCAAGTTATTTAATGACTTTGATAATGATCAACTTTGTTGCTTTATGATAATATTTTTGCGTCATTGCCTTGAATTTTTCTTCACACAATCCACTCTAAAATCTTGCTGTACCAATATAATTCGGTTTGTTAAAAACAAGACAGTAGGCCCAAAATGGAGTCACTTATGCTAAGCCCCACATCACCAACCGAGACCTCACTTAATTAGTTTCAGTTCTCCCAGAAATGGAATCTTAAACCAGTCAATCAGGAATTGCCTAATCAGCACTAGTTAGGTAACCTGCCTGATGGACCCCTGCCATCCCTTACAGGAAAGTAATTTTGCAGTAACCAGCCCATTTTTTTACTTAGTATTACTTCTTTGTTCCCACTCCCTTCTTTCTGCCTGTGAAAGTTTTTCATTTTGTACAGCTCCTTGGAGCTCCTTTCTGTCTACTAGATTGGATGCTGCCTGATTCAAATTGAGTTTTGCTCAGATACACACTTAAAAATTTTAATATGCCTCAGTTTATCTTTTAACAGGTTACACAGTTATCTAGAACTGATCATACTCTGATGAGGGAAAAATCTGTTAATTGAGACATGGACAGTAAGTAATGATTAGTGAGGGAAGTCTGATCTTTCAAGTTAAGTTTTGAGGTGTTGAAAATAGTGAAATTAGTTATGTAAGTCAAATATTCAGGAATTTTAAATTATCCAGCTTACTTTCAAAAGAGTATAATTTATTGGTTGCTAGCAGAAATAGCAGTCAGCTATTCGCTACACTGTTGTGGTAACTTGAAAGTAAAACGTGTTATTCTTAGGCTTTTCTAAGAAAAGAATAAATTTATAGAAATATCTTGAATAATTAGCAGGGTTTATTTACATACCAGCATCAACACGTCTCTTTATACCATTAGAAATTGAATTGTTGGTGAATTATAAAATTTTTGAGTTGTAACTGTAGTGAGCACTAAAGTGTCCATGAAGTGGGTGGGCGAAGGAGTAGTCTTCAGTACCTTGATTAGGGCCTGCCATTAGTTGTCACTCTGTAAAGAGCAGTGGTTCACTGAATTTCCATACAAAAACTCTGGTTTGAACAAAAAACTGTCCAGGCATCAAAACACATAGCCTATTAAAGATGGAGCCTAAAAATAAAATATACTCATTTAAAGTAAGTAAACAGTTGATAGTTTAAAATTGTATCTTTGTTTTGCAAATGGCAAGCTGAGATTTTCTTGGATAAACTTGAAATTTGTGGTTCAGACACATTAAAGTGGAAGCAAAACATTCTTCTTCTCTTTGTAAAATAAGCCTTTCACTTAGCACGTTGTTACACCAGTAAGTGAAGGTGAGGCAAGAAGGGCTTTGGGTTCACAACTTGGAAAGTCTGTCTTGAACTCTTCTCTTCATTGTTGTGTACTGTCTTAGAAACAAGATGGGATAGAATCAGCAAACTGAGCTTTGGTTTTATATTCTTTCAAAACTAATAATAATCTGGCAAATTTTGTGTTGTGGCACTATAAAGATAAAGTTGTTGAAAGTATTAGTTTAAAAGAGTGAGTAAATTCTCAGTTTTCTCAATTGTTTAGAATTAATCTTTTTTATATGTTTGAAAGTATGGAAAGTCTTATTTGACTAGTTTGCAGGCTTGAGAAAAGTTGTACTTCTCCTATTTCACTGATCTAGTGAAGGATTAGAATAGATAATAAAGATTAAAACCAGTTGATGGATGATTTTGTAAATAACAAGTGGAACCAACTTTATTCGTAAATTTTCTTGTTCTTTTTTGACTTTGTGCATTATTTGCCTTTTGTGGGAACATTTATTGATTTTACATTTTTTAAATTTCCAGGTAACTTGGGTTTTTACTCCTGTAACAACTGAAATAACAAGTCTTGATACAGAGAATATAGATGACATTTTAAGTAAGTACCTGGACATTTTTAAAGTACACTTCCTTCTCTATAGTTAGTTTATATACAGAAACAAAATAAAATCTCAACTATCTAGAACAATTGAGGAGCTGGCCTTGTGACTAATTCCGTGGTGTACTGAATTAACAAAGCACTTTTGGTTTTAATTTTTTAGTATAAATGTAAGCCTACTTTCTTGTGTTACAAGTGAAGTAAACTTTTAGTCTTATTTTATTTCTTTGCCTTGTCATAAATGCCACTCTTAACAATTCATAAAGTATTTTGCTAAAGCCAACTTAAAGGCCAGCAGTTTCCACTGTGCAGTACTAAATGTTAATGATCTTAGGACACAGCCTAGAAATTTGTCTTTTTAAATTTTTACCTAAATCACCTGATCTCTTTTATTGTCATTGGTCCAATTAAGTTCAATAAGTGTTTCACTGAATGCTGTTTGCTAACAATTTGTAGATACAGTTAACTTGGGGGAAAAACATTTCTTGTTTTTGAAAGTACTGGAAAGAAGTATTGAAGACGTGGTTGATAGAAAATTAGAGTTAAGAAAATGTACAAAGTGCATAAATGATTTCTTTTTTTTTTTTGAAGCACTCCATTTCACCAACTGGTTTGAGCATTACAAAACCAAAAATAATAGAGGAAGGAGTCATTCACTGAGCATCATATATTGTTTTGTGTTTTTGGAACTGGTTTTAAGTGCTAGAAAGTGTATTCCTATGTTATAAGATCTCTTTAGAGCAATGGTTCTATAAACTTTATCGTGTATCAGAATCACCTGGAGTATTTATTAAAATCTGTTCTGCTAGCCTTGGCCCCAGTTTCTGACAGAAACTGCTAGACTGCACCTAAGAATTTGCATTTCTACAAGTTGCCATGTGATGCTGGTGCTTCTGGTCCAGGGACCACAGTTTGTGAACCACTGCTTTAGAGTGGATAAGCAAGTGGATAAAAAGTGCTTTGAAGAGAAAAAAGGAAGAAGAAAGTTGAGACTCACATATCATTCTCACTCTTTTTGTCTTCCAAATTCTAGATTATCTTTTTGTTTTGTTTTTGTGAGTACTTAGGAGTTTATCTGTTTCTCTGTATTAGGTTTAGGCGAAAGGAACAAATGTATCTTTCTCACTTCTTCACATTTGGATATGCAAATGATACTAAGTTATTTTTGCAACAGAGAATGACTGTTAAATGGTTAGGAACCAGAAAAAGTACATCTTGTGCTTCACCCTTGGTTGTAGATTACTTGTTGCCACTAGGTGAGACATCTGAGATTTAGAAATAGCTTGGTTATACAGGTCTCTTCTGTGAAATAGAATTTTACTTGCAGAGCTAATTCTCAGTTACTCATGAATATGGAAGGTCAAAAAATTGATTATTAAAATCCAGATCATTCCACTTTGCTTTTTGTGAGACTGGGCTATTTAGTAGCTTACTTGCCTGATCTGGGTTTGATTCCCCTTCTGTTTTATATTCATTTGATGAAGGTATAAAGATGGAGGATATAGAGAAAAGGAACACGGACTCCCACAAATTATGTAAGCCATCCATGACTCTGTGTATGGGTTTGTGAGCGAGAGGTGACTTGATTGTTACTCTGTATTTTTAGTGGGCCTTTTCCAATGGAAAGAAGACCGTGATGAAAACCAAATCTTTATGTCAAAAGTATGTAGATGCAAATAACTTAGGTTGTTTGGTTTTCTTTTTCAATTTCAGATAATGCTGATGTTGCTTTAGTAAATTTTTATGCTGACTGGTAAGTAATAATCTTATTTTTTGTATTTTTTAGGGGAGGGTTACATCGTTTAGTTGTTGTTTTTCATTTTTTTTTTTAACTTGCTAAAGGTGAATTTTTCTTTGCTAGAAAGGGATGAGTGGGGAAGCCTTTTTCTTTGGTGAAACCATATTCCATACACAAAATCCATTAAGATTCATTCACAAATAAAGCAGCTTAATTTGGTGAGCATTTGTGTTTTAAGAGAGAAATACACCTGATTGCATTATCCCACATCTTAAAATAAAAGCAGGTAACATAAAAACTCAAAATATCTCACACATACACACACACACAAAAGAGTACATATTGCAATTCTGTATTTTTCCTGACTGAGGAAGTAGGGCAGTATTTGAAGGTGAGGATGTGTGTCTGGCAAGTTTAGAAGGAAAAATAATGTTGACATTTTTTAACATATACCATCTACTGCTGCTTCCAGGAAGCCTTTATTCCTTCCCCTTCCAAATCAGAATTTGTCCTCTGTGTTCATATAGTACCCTATGTACCACTTTCTTTTTCTTACTGCATTGTTTTGTCTTTTATCATTGTTTGTGCCCTACCAAACAAACTTTGAGGGCAGAAATACTGTCTTACTCAGTATTCCTAGCATCTAGAACGAGGGCATAATATGTAGTAGATGTTAATGAATGTGGCATGGGGATAGGAAGAAGGGCACTTCAGCTGGAGAGAGGTTTGAAACACACAATCCTTATTCCTAGGCAATCCGTATCTTATTTGACCCTTTTAGGCTTACTGCCTACTAGTTGCCACTACGCTACTTCAGGCCAGGGTCCCACAGTTCACCTAGGTTCCTGCATCAGTCTCCTAATTTATTTTCTGTGCTTCTAGTCTTATATGTCTCCATTCTGTTCTCTACAAAGTAAGCCAAAGTGGTTTTTCCTAAAGTGCAAGCTGGATTAGTTTATACCTCATCTTAAAACTCTTAAATGGTTTTCTGTTATCTTTAGGTAAGTCCCTTACCTTGGCCTAAGAAGGCCCCTGATGACCTCGTCCCTTCCTCCCTCTACAGCTATATATCTTACCTCCCTCCACTCCCACATTCTTTTCCAGTTATGCTGAACGTCTTTCAGTTTCTGTAATATTCTCTTCTCTTTCATCACTGGACCTTTAGTTGTAGTGTTTTCTCTGCCCAAATGGATCACTCTTCTCTCACCCACTTATTTACCTAGTTAAGTCTTAATCATCTTTGAAGTCTTAGATTAGGTGCAGCTTTCTCCAGGTCACCTTCCTAGATCAGTGTTCCCTCCCTTACTTTCAAGTCAGCTTAGGAACCTTTCCGTATCTTCCCATAACATCCCATATTCACCCAGTCGTAACACTTGTATGCTATAGTTTAGATGATGGCTCTCCACTACATCGTTAGCTTTGTGAAAAGTTACCATATCTATCTTTTTTCAATATTAATCCCCAAGCACTTTGCATAATACTTGGCAGATAAGTACATAATAAATACTTATTGAATGAATGATAGGTATTTAAAGAACTTCAGTAAAATGTTGAAGATACACAGAGAAAATACCATTTATAAAATGTATAACAAAGGTAGCATTTTCCAGGGTAAATTAGCATTGTTCAGATCTGGCTGTGTCCAGTCACAAAATTTGGCAGATTATCGAGTCCAATCCGCTTTAAAAATAAAACTGAGATCCAGAGGAGTAAAGTGTTTTCCCAAGGTTACATGAGTAGATTGTGGCAGAGTTAAAACTAGAACACAGTTCTCTTGATTAAGGGATTTTGCTGTAAGAAAAATAGAACCTGCCGTCGACGTTTTTGCAAAAACTGGATTGGAACTGTGGACTAATTTCAGTTATTTGGGAAAACATATTACCCAAAGAATACCTTGAAGTTGTTCATGAATTAGTACTCTTTTGTTCAACTGAAAAAACTCAGGTAATTGGCCACAGGACATAGACCTACCCTGTGTGGCCTGAAAGGCTAGATTCTGAGTTCCCATAACTCCCTAGATTCTGAGTTATGGATGTGGCGTGGTTTAAGGAAGAATTCTCTGGTAGAACTGCCTAAAAATACTGATATGCCTCAGAGGGTAATAAACCATAGTAGGTACTTAATAATGCTGTTATGTGTCAGGCTCTTCACATACATTGTTTTTAACGCTCAGAACTACCCCACAGGTAGGTATTATAATTTCCATTTTAGGTTGAGGAAGTTGAGGCTCAGAAAGGTGATACGGCTAGTAAGTGGTGGAACTGAGATTTAAATTCAGGTATGTCTGACTCCAAAGCTTATTTTTCCGCCCATTAGGTCATACTAGTAAGTGCCCTCAAATTGTTCCTGCAAAGCCTTTTACCCATTTTTTGATTTGTAAAGGGTTCAAGCACTAGATTGGAGATTGGATTCAGATGACTCTTAAGGCCTTTTAATAGCTCTATTGCTTTTGTTATGTTAACTTTTATAAATGTAAGTTTCCATATGTATGGATACATGTGTATGAAGTTACAGTAATATTGCAATTGAACTTTTATTTGATCTTCTCCTTTCACCTTTTGGTATTAAAACTGATCCTATTTTAAACGTGAAATGTGCTTACTGGGTAGCAAACTGGACAATCCAGAAAGAAGGAGCCCTTACTGTATGTCTTTACCTTGCCCTTAAACCAGGAGCCTATACACTGGTTCTTTACTAGGCCATATCCTAATTCTTCAAGAAACCATTGACCGGTCCCTACCCCTTTTCTCCCCTGTCCTCCAGCACCCTATTTTCAGCAACTCTAAGAACCTCCAAACCTGTGCTCCTAGCCTCTCCAGTTCCTCCAGTTTATCAGTTTATTCATTTAACAGACATCTATTGAAATGCTTGTTAGAATATGTAGTCAAATAAGGCACAGTCCCTGATGTCCACAGACCCCACCCACCTATCCCAGATGGGAGAGAGTTAAGAATGCTAAAAGAGGAAAGAGCCACTTGAAAGCAAGAGATTGAAGATACAGATTGTGTCTCCTTGATATGTTCTAGGACATCTCCTTAGGAAGTCAGGTGAGTGGGCTAGAAGAGATAGATAGAAAAAGAAATAGGGAGGAGGTGTCAAGTTTGCATCCTTTCACAGGCTTTACAATATTTGTGTTCAATTATAGTTAACATGTATGACCAAATCGTATGTGGATTAAAGAGTTCACAGGCTTCATTTAAGTAAATTTCTTAGCAGAAAAGGGCTCTGGAAGCAATAGTAGCAATTATGGTTTGTTTTTGTTAACAGATACTCAGTACCTTTTTCATACGAGAATGACTGTTCTAACCCCGCTGGTTGCGTGCTGATTCTGATTCTTCTTCTCTTTCTTGTTAGGGCCCTTTCATGACTCACAACATCATATATTTGTGAAGTGGTTGGCCTGATTAAGGGACAGTCAGAATTAGAAGTTTCAAGTTTCTGGAATATTGTGGGGTTTGTGCCTCCTTTTAAAAGTAAAAACAAAACAAACAAAAACGTCAGAGGAAACATGGACAGAAAGTCTTGTTTAAGAATTTAAAATTTTGCTCCTGGATTTGGTATATTTAATATGTTTCTAGGTGCAAAAGTCCATTTTAACCTGGGGTAGATTTTGAGGAGAAGCAGTTCATGATATACTATAGTAGACTAACTTGCCCCTGAGATTTGATTGAGCTAGTCAGGTGAATCGGTCTAATATTTGCAATAAATTTACCACTTTAAAGATTTTGTACAATAATCTAAAAATTAGTTCATTATTTAGAGAAAGCTAATTTCTTTCATAAATGGCCAAGTCTCAGTAGTTACAAGTCCAAGTAGATACATCTTAGAGGGCTTATTTCAGACTTGTTTCATGGCGCCTGTGAGAAATCCTTAGCTGTGCGCTCCATAATATTGGCCTTTTTCTTAGGGGGAAAAAGCCAAAATCTTTTAATTATTTGTATAATCTTTGAAGTCAAAATGGTCTTCATCTCCAATGAATGACATTAAGATCCATGACTAAATTAACTAGTACGTGATTGTCTCAAAATCTGTTTATTGTACGTATTCTAAATATCAATGAATAATAATAACTGAAATAAGATTTTATTGCTTTTCTGCTTTTCAGTTTTAATTGATATCCTTCTCTGTGCATAGGTGTCGTTTCAGCCAGATGTTGCATCCAATTTTTGAGGAAGCTTCCAATGTCATTAAGGAAGAATATCCAAATGAAAATCAAGTAGTGTTTGCCAGAGTTGATTGTGATCAGCACTGTAAGTACTTTAGTAGGAAGAAACTGTCCCATCCCCATCTCTCCTACATACACACACACAAACAAAAACACGTACACACATATTTTTCTTTTCTTTTTTTAAGTGCTCTGCTTTAAGTGGAGAACAAACCAAAAAGAGTCTAGTGACCTTCGATCTTTATGTACTTATAATACTACTTTCCATTTTGCCTGTGCAAAGGCTTTAAAAAAATTTTTTTTTTTCATTAAAATATAGTAGGGCAAGCTTATAGGCAGTAAATCTTAACTAGCAATGTTTTCTACCAAAGCAAATACCAAAATCAATAAATAAAATTGAAATATAGTTTTAGGGAAAAAAATGGATTTCTCTTAGTTTTAGAATCATGCAGAAATACCATTTGTAGTCATTTCAAATAAAACAGTCTCAGATTTTTGTGTGTTTCTGTTATATAAAAGATTCTACCAAGATTGGCTAGGACTATCTTTGAGGTGTAATTACTGATTAATTATTCAGAGTGTTGAGAAACTTAGGTTAGACTCATTTAAAATCCAACCTCTTGGATTTCACCTGTCCCAGTGGAGCATTCTCTATAAAATCGCCCCGGTTTTCTGTATACATGACAGATTTCTCTAACTTGAGCTAGTGAGCTTGCAGCGGTGTTTCCTCCTGGGTGCTCCCATCATTATTCTTGAACTTTCCTCTCTCATAGTACCAAACGCGTTTTCTGGTTCTGGTTCATTGTGTGTTAGTTGTCTCACCAGTTGTGATGTCAGTTCTTCAAAGGCAGGAACTTTTTTTTTTCTTTGTTTTTAATGCTCCCTTTTAAGTGGAGACCAAACTACTCATTAATCTCTGAATCTCAGGCATCTGACAGTTTCTGGGAGACAGAGCTTGCTCATTAAAAGCTTGTTGCATTGAGTTATTGGTAAGTTTGAATGAATACAGAACTCTCCCATTGTGCAAATTTCTTTTCCTTTACACTCAACCTGACAATTACAATTAGTGTGTGTACACTGACTTTTCATTTTACTTATGAGGAAATGGAAATCAAGTGGCTTAACCAATGTCATACAGCTTAATGCTAGTCAAGCCAGATTTAGAATCCAGATCTCCTGACCAAATTCCTTCATAGATCTATTTGCTTCTTTTCTTTTCAACAAACATTTTAGGGATTTACTGGTAAAACTCTGTGCTAGGGAGAAAAGGCTAACAGCAAAGCATTTCAAATCTTACAAGCCATACCCTACCCTTCTGTCTGCTGAGGTTCATAGCTAGATTGGATGAAGGGACCAATAAAAGGTCAGTGCAAGCATGGACTGCGTTTCCACACTGTTTCTGGATCTTTCCTCCCACCTTGACTAATGGGGAAACATGATGGTTTTCATGTGGGCTCTCATTTCAAATCTTTCTATTCTTTATGTATTTAATTAGACATTACAGTGCAGACAACAGTCCCTACTTTCACTGAATTTGGACCATAAAATCTGAAATTATGCTCTCAAGCTTACAGTCATTGGGGAGATAAATTAACTATTGTTGAAACCTAAATATCATTTATTCTATCTTTTAAACAGATTAACTTACCTTTGAGGTAATCTGACGTCATTGCTAGTAATGAAGTTCTCTCTCTTTTTTTTTTTTAAAGATTTTATTTATTTATTTTTTCCCCCCGCAAAGCCCCAGTGGATAGTTGTATGTCATAGCTGCACATCCTTCTAGTTGCTGTATGTGGGACTCGGCTTCAGCATGGCCGGAGAAGCGGTGCCTCGGTGCACGCCCGGGATCCAAACCCCGGCTGCCAGCAGCGGAGCACGTACACTTAACTGCTAAGCCATGGGGCCGGCCCTCAAGTTCTCTTTTTTTTTAAGATTTTATTTATTTTTTCCCCCCAAAGCCCCAGTAGATAGTTGTATGTCATAGCTGCATATCCTTCTAGTTGCTGTATGTGGGACTCGGCCTCAGGATGGACAGAGAAGTGGTGCCTCAATGCGCACCCGGGATCCGAACCCCGGCCACCAGCATTGCGGCGCGCGCACTTAACCACCAAGCCACAGGGCCGGCCCTCAAGTTCTCTTTTTATGGGAGTAAATAGCCATAGTTCAGATGCTTTTTGATCCACCAAAGAGATCTACAAAATTAGTTTTTTTACTAATAAAAGTTATATCTGAGACATTGTGCATTCTCTTTAAATGTTTTCCCTGCTGTGTAATTCTTCAGTTTTTAAAAGTGACATTATGAAATCCTTATTGATGGTTTATTCACATTTTCCACTCTCTCTTTAAAGATTATAAGACAGACTATATTTTGGGTAACCCCTTATGTGCCAAATGGATTGTAGAGGTTTTGAACTGGAAGGACCTTAAGAATCCTGAGGTCTGCAGAGAAGTGCCTGTTAGGCAGATTGTTCTTTGGTGGGATTTGATTTTTAAAAAAGAGATTTATTGAGGTATAATCAACTGCACAAGTTTAAATTATACAATTAAATGTTTTGACATATGTATATACCCATGAAACCATCACCACAATCAAAATATCAACATATCTGTCATCCCCAAAATTTTCCTTGTGCTTTTTTGTGGTCCCTCTCTCCCCTCATCAATCCTCAGGTGACCATGGAACTGCTTTCTGTTGCTATAGATTAGTTTGCATTTTCTAGGATGTTATTTAAGTGGAATCGTAGATTGTGTGTTTGTGTGCATGTTGTTGTTTATGACTCAACGTGGTTCTTTGAGATTGTTATGTGTATCATTCAGTTTTCTTATTGAGTGGCATTCCATTCTATGGCTTATACTACAATGTGTGTAACTGTTCACCTATTGACAGACAAGACATTTGGTTTGTTTCCAGTTTAGGGCTATTACAAATAAAGCTGCTGTGGACATTCAGGTACAACTCTTTGTACATATGCTTACATTTTCCCTGGTCATATACCTAGGTGTGAAAGACCTGAGTCATATGGTAGGTGTACATTTAACTTTTTGAGAAACTGACAGACTGTTTTCCAAAGTATTTGTACTATTTTACATGTCTACTAGCAGTGTATGAGGGTTCCAGTTGTTCCATGTTCTTGCCAACACTTGGTATGGTCATTGTATTTAATTTAACATATTTGTTAAATTATTAACAGGTATAATAATTTCTTTTTTATAATAATTTCTTGGGGCCAGCCCAGTGGCACTGTGGTTGGGTTCACGTTCCGCTTCGACAGCCCGAGGTTCTTTGGTTCAGATCCTGGGTGTGGACCTGCTCCCTGCTCATCAAGCCATGCTGAGGCAGCATCTCATATAGAAGAGCTACAACTCTACAACTATGATATAGAACTATGTACTGGGGCTTTGGGAGGAAAAAAGAAGAGGAAGATTGGCAACAGATGTTAGCTCAGGGCCAATCTTCCTCAAAAAAAAAAAATTTCTTACTGGGTTTTGAGATCTCTTTATATATTATGAATACAAGTTCTTTTTCATTTGTGTAATTCGCAAATATTTTCTCCCATTCCACTCTCTTTTTTTTTTTTTTTAAGATTTTATTTATTTATTTTTTCACCCCTAAAGCCCCAGTAGATAGTTGCATGTCATAGCTGCATATCCTTCTAGTTGCTGCATGTGGGACATGGCCTCAGCATGGCCGGAGAAGTGGTGCGTGGGTGCGCGCCTGGGATCCGAACCCGGGCCGCCAGCAGCGGAGTGTGTGCACTTAACCGCTAAGCCATGGGGCCGGCCCTCATTCCACTCTCTTAAGGGTGTCTTTAATTGTGGTAAAATGCACAGAACATAAAATATACCATCTTTACCATTTTTCATTGTACAGTACAATAGCATTAAGTATATTGACATTGTTGTACAACCTGTCTCCAGAACTTTATCTTGCAAAACTGAAATGCTATACTCTTTAAACAACAACTCCCTATTTCTCCTCCCCCCGGCCCCTGGCAACCACCATTCTGCTTTCTGTTTCTATGAATTTGACTGCTCTAGATACCTCTTATAAGTGGAATCAGATAGTGTTTGTCTTTTTGTGATGGGCTTATTTCGCTTAGCATGGTGTCCTCAAGGTTCCTCTATGTTGTAGTGTGTGTCAGAATTTCCTTCCATTTTAAGGCTAAATAATATTCCATTGTATGTATAGACCACATTTTGTTTATACATTCATTTGTTGATGGACACTTGGGTTACTTCCACCTCTTGGCTATTGTGAATAATGCTGCTGTGAACATGGTCATACAAATTATCTCTTCGAGACCTGGCTTTCAATTTTTTTTTGGATACATACCGAGAAGTAGAATTGCTGGGTCACATGATAATTCTATTTTTTAATTTTTGAGGAACTGTCATACTGTTGTCCATAGCAGCTGCATCAGTTTTACATTCCTGCCAGCAGTGCACAAGGGTTTCAATTTTTTCACATCCTTGCCAACCCTTGTTATTTTCTGCTTTTGTGATAATAACTGTCATAAAGGGTGTGAAGTGCTACCTCTTCATGGTTTTCATTTGCGTTTCCCTAATGATTAGTAATGTTGAGCATCTTTTCATGTGTTTGTTGGCTGTTTGTATATCTTCTTTGAAGAAATACCTGTGCAAGTCGTTTGCCCATTTTTAAATCAGGTTATTTTTTTTTATTGTTGAGTCATAGGAGTTCTTTATATATCCTGGATATTAACCCCTTATCAGATATATGATTTGCAGATATTTTCTCCCATTCTGTAGGTTGCCTTTTCACTCTGTTGATTGTGTTTTCACAGAAGTTTTAAATTTTGATGTCCAATTTATCTGTTTTTACATTTGTTACTTGTTCTTTTTTGTCATATCCAAGTAATCATTGCTAATCCAATGTCATGAGACTTTACTCCTATGTTTTCTTCTTAGAGTATTATAATTTAGATCATATGTTTTGGTCTTTATCATTTTTTCTTTTTGTTTGAGGAAGATTGGCCTGGCGCTAACATCTGTTGCCAGTCTTCCTCTTTTTCTTTTCTTTCCCCAAAGCCCCAATACATAGTTGTGTATCATAGTTGTTGAGTTGCA